TGGTGTGTGACTTCTCCGAGAACGCATCGCAGGGCTCTACAGTGCGACCATTTCAGTAGATAAGAGAGATCTGCACAATGAATCATAAGAGATTCATTGTGCAGTGTAGAGAGCTTCCTTGATTATAAATGTGAGATCGTGATGAGCTAAGATGAGTGACAGCTTTTAATGATTTTTAAGGGAGTTTGGTTATACCAAATACACAAAATAATGATCTTTAAAATAGCATCATATGACCCCTTTAAAAGCACAATATTATAGGTCGTCCCACAGTTCATTCTATATAGGCCTCAGTTCATGGCTGTGAAGGCTTGCTCCCAGTTTCTTACATATCAAATACAAATGTTTAAGTGAAAGAATAGGAATTTGTTATAACGTGCTTAACTTGTAGCAAGCAAGGGGCGATTATTTTGCTTTAGACAAGGTCTAACTCCTTCACCTCATGTCATCAAGTAATGGAGCTATAATTAGTATGTTTGAACACTGCCGACCAGGCTTGCATTTGGTTCATGTTTAACTTGGTGTACTTCATTGTGTCTTTGAAGATTGCTGGCTGTCAAAGAGTTTAAAAAGAACTAGAAGCACTCTGTTACTCATTTATGAGCGTGTAAAACTGGGCTGTTGGCATCTTTCCTGCTTTCTACTCCCTCTTCTAAAACACATCCTATTAATGTACTTAATGTCTTTGTTTAATATGCCTGTACAGACAGGAAGATGAGGAAGTGTGCTGGCATAGTCAATTAAAGCAATAAAACTATTTGTCACTATGAAAATGTCCATTTGCTGCACTTACTTGGCTTAGTCATCGTTCAGTAGAGCAGCTCTTTTTGTGGTGGTTTGGTAGCTCTGTGGTTTGCTGATTTTTTATTTTTTTTTGAAGGTTTTGACATTTGTTTGGATTTTAACTGATAATTTGTTAATTATTTGGCCTTGTTATTAAACAAAGACAAGCCTGACAACTCATAGGAGGATAGACAGACTTTAGATAAATATCATAACATTTTCCATACTTCCCTTTAAAGGGGTCATATGATGCGATTTCAATTTTTCCTTTCTCTTTGGAGTGTTACAAGCTCTTGGTGCATAAAGAAGATCTGTAAAGTTGCAAAGACTAAAGTCTCAAAACCAAAGAGATATTCTTTATAAAAGTTAAGAGTTAACCACGCCTACCTAAAACTGCTCGTTCTAACACGCCCCCACATACCTACATTTCATAATCTTCATTTCAGTGACCTTGAAGACTGTTCTAAGCAAAAAGATTTTAATTGTAATTTTTTTTTAGCTTTAATACTTTGGGAGAAACACACATCACAGGGAAACTTGCTGTTACTTGATGTTGTAGACCTGAAAGGCAGGTCTTTGCAACTCCGTCTCTATTCAAGAGAAATTACTTTTTACTGTAAGGAAAAAGTAGAATGGTTCGTCCTCAGAATTCCATAGCCTACACATGATAACCTAAAATAAGTCTATGCAACCTAAAAGTCTACCTAAAAAAAAAACAAAAACAAAAAGTCTAAACCAAAAAGCAGTATTTGTGACTTTAACATATTATGGCTGTCAATAGAATATAACAGCAAAGACACAAGACAGAATTAGATTTCAGGAAGCAGCACTCTTTACCCGCCTTACACTTCTTTCTTTTTCACAATTCTAATGTATAACTTTCAGTGCTATTTATTCTGTTCTTTGAACCTGTTTGTCCTGTCCAGTGTCTCAAAGCATAGTAACTAATAATAGATAGTTGAATTGCATCAAAACGCTTGTGAGCACTGAACTCCGTATAAACCTGCAAAAGTTAAATTGAACAGGTTTCCCCACACTTTATGGTCTTATGTAACGATACATATTTTACAAATATGCTGGGCTGCCACATATAGTCATTTCATTGACATAAATGATGTGCTTCACTTCATATTTCATGTTTTTATCATTTTAAATAAACACATTTCTTATTTGTTGTTGACAAAGGGGTACACAAAAGGTTGGGGAAACACTGTTGCCACCCAACTCTTGGGTAACAGGTAAAAAGTAATGCTACTGCTCAGATAACGGCCTTTCTGTCATATGCTGTGTGGCACTTCCTTTAAATGTGGTAGTGTATGTAGTGTGAACTTACACCATTCATTCCTTTTTTGTGTCTTCTATAATTGAACGAAGATTAGCTTGATGTCATACAACACATTGAATGGTTAGATTTCCATCATGAAAGAATTATTCATGAATTCAGTTTAAACAAAAAAATGTAAGAAAAACAACTCTGTTTTACTGTCAACAGCATGTAGGCGACCTTTAAGAGACTATGCACACCCACATTCCTCCGGTCAGTTCAGCACAGTAGTGTGAACTTCTACATTTTATTGCTGAAGTATTTATTTACAGACAACTGTGTTCACAAGATAGCCAAGCTGAGACAAGTGCTATCATTAAGAAAACCATGAGCTGCCCTTGATAAGTAATTGCCTATTTTTAGTTTGAACTACAGCAGTGCGGAAAGCCTGGATGTTGGTATGTTTATCAGGCCTACAAAGAGCACTGCAGCTTCCTTCTTTATCTAAACTTTGTTCAGGCTTTCACAAAAAGCCTCTTTATGTTTAAAGAGAGGCACTTCCGTTAAATTGGCTCTTAAATCTCTGGTTGATTGATTTAATATTGAAGAAATAACTTTTCTAAGTTAGTAAAAAATTACCAACTAAATACATAAAAATTTGCTGGAAATTTACTCACCCTTAGGCCATCGAAGATGTAGATGAGTTTTGGAGAAATTCAGCATTACATCACTCGCTGACCAATGGATCCTCTGCAGTGAATGGGTGCCGTCAGAATGAGAATTAAAACAACTGATAAAAAATTACAGTAATCCACATGACTCCAGTCCATTGATTGATATTTTGTGAAGCAAAAAGCTGCGTGTGAGAGGACAACAGGGAATGGACATTTTTGGACACATTTTGGTCAGAAGCAGTTGTTTACAATTAAAAAATGTAAATGATGGATTTTCTGTTTATTACAAACATGCAGCTTTTCACTTTACAAGACATTTTTTGATGGATTGGCATCATGTGGATTATTGTGATGTTTTTATCAGCTGTTTGGAGTCTCATTGTGACGGCACCAATTCACTGCAGAGGATCCACTGGCAAGCATGTAATACAATGCTAAATTTCCCCAAATCTGTTCTGATGAAGAATCAAACTACATCTTGGATGGACTGAGGGTAGGATGATGTTAATTTTTGAGTCAACTATTCCTTTAAAGGAACACTCCACTATTTTTGAAAATAGGCTCATTTTCCAACTCCCCTAGAGTTAAACAGTTGAGTTTTACCGGAAAATTGTGTTCTGAAAGGTTTCAACATAGCCTTACTCTGTTAAGAGAGCCTGTGGTCACAGCATAGTGTGTAATTAAATTTAACTATGTGGGTTTGCATTGACCATAGAGTGGGCAAATATGCTCTGCATTCAAAGAGAGTTGAATAGTTTGTTGATTTAGGATTACAAGCATTTTCAATTGAGTCCTTCATGAGAGGAAACTCTGTTTGCTTTGATATACTCCGTTGAGCCTACTAAGTCTCTTTTCTTTTGTCTTGAAAGACTTTTTCATAATAAAACATTTTGGCTTTCAATATCAGAGGACTTTTCTGTCTGTCTTTTAAATTCTCAAGTTGCTCGTTTTGTTTCTGTGCTGTTCTTTCTGTTCACTTTAGTCTTGTGAATCCACTGAGTATCTAACAAGCTTCCACTCTTTGATTTGATGCATGGCAGTGGCACTAATAAGCACTGAAACATTTTTGAAATACTCTTTTAGATCAGTCAGTGTCCACAGCGGGACTTCAGTAAATGATGCTGGACTAATTTGCTGCTTTACATCCACCACTGAACAGAGGCCATGCTTGGAAACTGATTAAATGCACATTTGATTTGGTTTCAAATCTGATCTTTAATACTGGCTGTCTGCAAGTTATATAATCTGTTCCATTTGTTCAGTGTCTGATGAAAATTTTGCATGTATAACATATGCATGCCACGACTTGCCATGACATGCCATGCTGAACAAGGTGCCTCAGAAAACATAAATGATTGAGACTATTTCCAACAAATGCATACTGTATTCAAACCGTGAATATCTTATAGTTGGTTAAGGGAAAAAGCGAGCAAAAATGTGTGTATTTGGACACAGATTCAGAAAAGTCATTGTAAAATGCTGATTTGGTACTTACAAAATATTTCTTATTATAATTGAATACATTTTCTAAACTCCTTACTCCTGACTCGTAGGGTCAAACCATAATTGTATTTTAAAAAATCTGATGTTGGCGGCTTGTCTAATTAAAAAAAAATATATATCTATGTATATTCTAATCCTTTAATGTATAAATTCATATTTTGTCATATTTTGCCCCTTCAGGTTGGTGGATGACAGATGTGTGGTGCAACCAGGGGTTGGGGATCTTACAAACCCACCGAAAAAATTCAGAGGTGAGTCAGTCCGACAAGATTCATCACATTAAATGACCCAATGCTAACATATTAGCACCATTATTAGCCAATGGACTGTTGTTATGGATATAACGGTGTTGGGAGCTAATTTCAAATGAGCTTATTAACTCTTTCCCCGTCAGCATGTTTGAAAAAAGTTGCCTCCAGTATATTTTGCTCTATGAATATTTGAATATGCAATACACCAAAATAAAGATCAGAGCCTCACATTTTTTATTAATACTAATTTCATATGATTGCTAACTTTGTCTTATTCTACTAATTATTATATATATTTTAAATAGAAATTTTAAAAAGCTTATAAACATACATTTTTGAATTTGACAGCAAAGGTAAAAAAAAAACGCCCCTGTAAATCACTTTAAGGAGTCAAATATCACCTCATATTAGGAAG